GCGCCGGCGATGCCGCCGATTTCGATCGGTTCGCGTAGCTTACGTACCTCTACGTCCGGGCGATAGGTTAAAACGAAGTCTTTTTTTATAATAGTAAGCGTATAGCCGGTATCTAGGCAAACCTATATAGATGCACTAAATAGTAACAACCGAAGGGGGAAAGTTATATATTGCTAATTCCGGAATGCGTAACCTTACTAAGCTAACAGAGGCGCCTTCGACTAAATTACTTTCGGGTTTGCCGATACGCGTTCGATAATAGTAGAAGGCATCGTCGCCCCTATATACTCCTTACGAATATACTAGTATAGAAGGTTGCCTAACTTAAATCGCTGCCTATAGATCTTGTAAGCGTACTTCGTAGAGGCAAATAGTTAGATCGCCGCTAGTAGGGACGCTTTAGCCTATAGTACCGAGTTTAACGCTAATAGCGAGCGATCGCCTATGCCTGTAAAGTAAGCTCCTAAGCCTAAATCGGAGTTATAAGGGTCGGTAAAGTAGTCGGCGTCTTCTCCGGCGTTACTAAAATAGCTATAATTATCCGCGTCGGTTCCCCTATTACCCTCCTAACTATCCTCCCGATAGACGTCGTCGGCTTAGTTAGCATTATTTACGGTATCGCCTACTTTCTTACTATTATCGGCAAAGTTAGCCTACTTACGAGCTCGATTGTTACGCTTTCTATCCTATCGATTAAATAGGCGCGAATCGACTCGCTTTAGGTCTTTCGGGAGGAAGGTAGGGCTACTACCCTTCGACGGTCCTTTACTATTTCCTACTAGTAGTAGGCGATTCTACTAAGAGGCGTTAGGTAGGCGATTCTGCTAATAGGCGTTAGTAAGGCGTAGTAGGTTCGGTCGGTCGGTATCGCGGTTCCGGTAGTTAGAGGATGCTCTTACTAGAGCGAAGCTTACTAGAGTATAAGAGGCGTTCCCTTCGTATCGGTTCTACTAGGCAGCCTTACTAGCGCGGCTATTATTCCTAGTCGTAGCGTCTTAGCGACGATTAGACGAGGACGAAAGCATATGCTCCTAGATTAATGCCTACTTCTCGTAGTACGTAACCTACTTATCGACCTTTATACGACAATTTAGCTCGTCTATATTTAATTAGAGGCGCGGGTCTATTCGACGGTAAGCTTCTAAGAGCCGGTTCGATTTCCGTATACTAGTATCCTTAGCGAGTCGCACCGTCTTAATAATAAAGTCCGTTACTAAACGCTCTAAAGCGATATCCTACTAGTCGTAGCGTTACTTATCGAGGAGATCTATCGCCTTTATCGGAGGGACCTTCTATTTCTTACTAAGACAACGTTCCTAGCGCTTTAGACTATGTCCGCCGCGGAGCTTTACTCGGTTGCGGCTAAAAAGGTAACTATAATACTAACTAAGCGCTACCCCTCGAAAGCAAAGAGAAAGGTTAAGACGAACCGTCTCTCGCCCTATAATATAAGTATAATCCTTAGCCGCTTCGATAAAAGCATATACCGAACGGTATATTATCTTATTCCTAACTAAGGCGTAGTCTCCCTCGCCGTAATCCGTAACGCTAAGTAGAGGATCGAAGAACCTAAGATACGCTAAATCGAACTATAGCTACTAGAGGCAGGCGTAGTACCCCTAGACATAACTCGCTTTAGAAACTAGCGCTTCCGCGACGTAGTCCCGATAATACTAACGGTGTCTGCGACAGCGGGCGTGTCTATAATAACTACTATCTAAGGAGCTATCGTTATCCGATAAGGATTAATCGGAGTCGTCCGAATCCTTACTATTAGATAAAGATCTATCTTTACTCGGATTATCCCTATACCGACGGTGTTTCTAGCGTTACTTCTTACCTTCCCGTAGTAGACCCTATAAGTCTAATAGCGGAAAGAGCAAAGGCTAACCCTACGTCGGCTTACGAGAGGAATTACCCGGATCGAAGTTACTAGGTAGTAGTAGTAGAGGATCGTCGGGAGGATTTCCGAGTAGATTACTAGGAGGATTACTAGGCGGATTGCTAGGCGGATCGCCTAGCGCAAACCTACCCCGACGTAAGTAGCTATGCCTACGGGCATTTATATATACGTCTGCCCTCTACTAGTAATTGTATTAAACCGGGTTCGGCTAGGGCGGACTTAGCTTACGCGTAGCCGATAGCAGTAAAATCGCCTATTCTATTAGAAAGTCTAATACAACTTTATTAAGATAGACTCCTCTCCGTCTAGCTAATTCGCGAAGATAATTACGACGCTAACGGTTTTGCTATATAGCGATATTCGCCCTATCGATCTCCTCGGTTATCTACGAGGCGTCTACCGGGGTACGATATTAGAAACGACTACGCGGCTCGTTAGCCTACGGGTCGGCGAGGCCGTCGTTTATTAGAGGCAATTAGCTACGACCGATATCCTAGAACGGCGACGTCGACAGATTAGAAGGCCCGGTTAACAGTTCCTTAGAGGAAGTCTTAGATAGAGGCCCCCTTAGCTTCTAAGGATTCTCGTCCGCCGGGTATCGTAGCTTAAGTAGCCTCTATAAGAAAACCGATTCAAGCGAGCTATTAGGCGAACCGGGACGCTGTTCCGGCGGCATAGTTGTTTCTACTATAGTAATAGGCGAAACCGTAGGCCGCGGTAGGACTTAAGGCAGTCGGGCTAGTAGGCGCTGCTCTACTATAGGTAGTAGATAGATCTCCGGGTAGAATTAACGGTAATAGCGTAAATCGCGCACCGTTAGGAGCGCGGCTTTAAGCTCCTTAACCGATTTGGTTAGGATTCCTTTATCTACTACCTACTATCCTAGGAAGTTATAACCGTTAAGGGCGTCTAGGTAGAGCTCCTCGATTTTAGCCTATAGAGGCGGCGGATTTCCTACGAGCGGGTAATAATATAGAACGTATAAGGCAAGCAAGTCGATTCGGCCGTACTTTGCCCTAAGCTAGGTCGCGAAGTTCTCGCTATAATCGACGTAGTTCTAAATATAGGAACAGATACGTAGGATATAGGGCTCTATATCCGGCAATCCGAGATTGTAGTACTAGGGCAGCGGTTAAACCGCTAGCTTAGCTAATTTCGAGGCTTCTACCGGAGTTAGAAGCGAGTCCGAAGGAGCTACGGCAAGCGGGTAAACTATTAGTAAGAGGGTAGAGGCGAGATAGTCTCTAAACGGAGGACAACAACGGAGAACCGACTAAAGGTAGAGAAGCGTAGCTTATCGGGTAGGTCCTCCTAGGGAAAGCGGCTGCCCCTAGACCTAGGTATAGTAGGCACTTGCTACTAAAGGTAGAAACTACTACTACTGTCTCCTCGGGGTACTAATAGGATCGCCGATAAGGCGCTCGCGCGTCGGTAGGGTATAGTACGGAAGGGTAGTAAATCGAATAGGTACCGTCGTAACGGGTAGGAGTTAAATCGTAGTAATCGGCGGAAGATCGGTAGGACCCGTAGCTAATCGCGTCGATTCTCGTCGTAGCCGTAACGACCGGGGTCGATTCGGGTAGAGGACTAGTAGTTAGTATAGAAGCCAACTAAGTATTAAGCGAAGCTACTAAGTTACTAGGCACACGGTTACAGTACGAAGGTATCGTAACGGTTATGCGGTACAAAAGTTAATATATTCTCTAAGGTGCCGCGAGGCAAGCTATCTATATAATAGTCCTACTATTAGTAGTAATAGCGACCGTAGCGGTCGATAGTAACCGCTACCTGCTATCGTACATGCAATAGTGTCATATCGTAACAATAAGGCGCTTTATAAGCGATCTTTATACTATATAATAGTAACAACTTCTCGATAACCTTCTTAAACTCTTTACTATTATCTATTTAATATAATACCGTAATTCCTCCGAAGTAGGCGAAGTACTAAATATAGAAGGCAATCTCGGCGCTTTCTCTTAAAATAAGGGCCTAAATACGGTAGAATTTAGACTTATAGTCCTTTATATATAGAAGGTATAGATAAGGGCTATTAGGGTCGTTTAACAAGTCGATTAAATCTATTTAGACTTAAGAGAGAGTCTTTCTAACCTATATATATTATAGCAAGTCGCCCTTCTATATAGTAGAGTAGTAATTAGTTAGGGTATATATCTAGTAGTACTTAAGGACCTTAATAATATCCTTCTTTGTTATATCGTAAAATTTCTCGCAAATAAGGTACGATACTACGCTACGGCGTATATATCCGAAGGCATACTAGTAGTATTTAGTAGCTAGAACGTAAAAGATTCTATACTCTTAAATAACCTTCCTACTACTACCTTCCTCCTCGATTATATATAGGCGCTAGTACTTGCTATCGTTCTACTAGAAACGGTATAAAGCCTAGATCTTCTCGTTATAATCGGATTTACTAAGTATAGTATATTCGAGGTAGCCGAGCGTTATACTATCGACTATAATCTATTAAATAATATATAGATAGTACTCTCGAGTTATTAGTATCTTATCGTACCCCTTTAGCTTCTTCTTTTTAAGGTATTTATTAAAGGAGACCTACGCTAATATAGGGAACGGATTAGCGCGCTATTCGGTATTCTAGCTATTAAAACTAGGTACTATAACGGTCGGAATAGCTAGACGTAGTATAGATAATTATATAGGTATATTACGTTATAGTTAGAGGTTCTATTATACCGCTATAGGCGATATTAGGCAAAAGGAAGGGTTAGTAGTCGCGTTAGAAGATATTTTTAGTAAAAGTTAGTATTATAGATAAGGGACTAGATTCTAGCTATTTGCTTTAAGAAGCTATAGCTATATAATAATACGTTCTTATATTACTCTAGATACTAGAAACGACTCGATTAAGTGCGAAGATAGTCGCTATTATTACTCCGGTATAATAATACTAATACGTAGTTATATTATAATAGTAGATTAGATTTAGTAAGGATCCGCTTTCCTAAACTTAGTAGCTTTATCTTACAGTCCGGTTTGTATACAAACATAACCAAACAACATCTAGAACTAGACCAAATTGGCCTTATTTAATGAAAAGCACGAGCCTAATAAAGGTGAGCCTATTTGATTAAAATTAGCTAAGGAACAAGGCAATTTTGATCAAACAGCAACAGCATGTCTCTCAATGCTTCAGTGGCCATTCGCACCATTCATCACGCCATTCGTGCCCGCGCCATCGAACGCGTCCCCGTAGTCGACATATGCCATCCCGCAAATCCACTCGATCACAGGCTCGTACAAGACAAGCGAGCACGCTTTGCCGCCCATGGCTCCCGACATGGCCACCCAGTTCAACACCTCATGCCTGCACCCGGCGTCAGCATAGCCTCCTCCATGCACGTCTGATCTGCTTCTTCACTCACCCGCCATGCCCTGCCTCCTCCTCGACTTCTTCATATGTCAGCTCTTTCAACCACTGAGCATCGCCGCTGCAAAGCTTGTCCAGGAACTTCCGGTCCCACTCGAAGTTTACCAGCGGGTGCCGGCTGTTCAGCGGATACTCGTTCTTGGCCGCCATCTCCACCTCGTACGCATCGAATTGTACGAAGAGGTCCGGCACGCGCTTCAACACGCTCTTCCCTACCGTCTGGTACTCCTTCATCAGCTTGAGGAACTCGTCCTGCGGCGGGTCACCGTTCTGATACGGCGACCAGTATGGAGGCCAGTGTGACCTGACTCAGTCAGAAGGACTCATCGACAACGCTACTACGATACCGAACGCACAGGCCGCCAGTAGCCATAAATGCCACTCGAGTATCGCCGGGCAGAGATTCGGCCGCGACACGACAAGCTTCTCCAAGAGCATACGCCCGCGAATATCTCATCAATGGTGGAGTAAAAACGTTGAGATACACTGCGAGACGTTAGAAGACATACATCAATGGTGGACACTGCACATGCCTGGGATGATGGCAACATCTGGCAGATCTGCCTTCATGAGTACCCTGTGAAGGCACGATCGACAGTCAGAAATTATCGCACGAGTGGATCACGCGTAAGTACCATGGCATCAAAACATTGTTCCCGTACTCGGTAGAGCCGGTTCGCGATACGTCAAACCCTTGCTCTACGAGGCTCTTGAGAACATGCTCTGCAACATCTGGTGCTCCAGGAAAATATGTTTTCGCCGATAAACGAAGAGCTTCCATCCATTGATCAGCCGGGCCGACATGATGTTCAGCAACGCCGACTGCTATCGTTGGCATGTGGTTGCGGTAAAAGTTCTCGAAGTGATCGTCGAGAAATGCGATTATCACATCGGGCTGTGCTCGCGACAAAGACTGGCCCAGCTGAGTTGCAGCAGCTTCGGTGCGCGCTCGAGCATCTGGTTTCGCTGTCTCTGGAAATCCAAGGGCGCCTTTACTTCATTCGTAAGTCAACGTGTGCGCAGAGTCCGGCAATTGAAGCTAGTCACCTGGAGCATGAGACAGTGCAACTGCAGCCACGATCTTGCCCATCTTGATTGCTTGATCAGAAAAGTCTTTGTAAAATTTCCTTCCACTGCAGTGTTCACACAGGGACTGACCACTTCCGCGTTCACAATAATCAAGAAGTAAATAGGACGCGTAAACGTTTGCCGTTGTTCGGATACGTTGATACGAACTGAACCCCTCATCATCAGCCCTGATGCCAACTACCGCAAAGTTCAAAGATCCTCAGGGGCCTCCATGCTTTCGAAATGAAAAAAATACCCCATCGGGCTTGAAGCTCTAGTTGCCTCGGCCGATGATGGGCGACGGCCTCTCAAACCCAAAAAAGAAGCCCGCCGAACGGGCAAAAGGAGAACAAGGAAGGATACAGTAAGGAGCTAGAGCTGTGCTGAGATTGACTACGGAGAGGAGGAATACTAGTAGGCATCAGGAGAAACCTGACGCAATGCGAACGCACGTTTGAGCAAGTACATGGCACCTGCAAGCAAGAAAGTCCTCGTTCTGGGTGGCACGGGTGTTGTTGGGAAGACGCTTCTCAATACATTGCTTGCAGCGACAGAGCAGTTCGAGCGTATTGGGTTGTTCACCACCCAAGAAACATGCGCGAAGAAAGCCGACTTGATCGACTCGTTCAAGTCCCGTGGAGCTGAAATCCTTGTTGGTAACTATACTAATTATGATGTGCTGAAAGCATACGAAGGTACGTCCAAGCTTCTCATTGAAAGACATATATGCTGACAGACACAGGCTTCGACACTGTGGTCTCGGCATTGGGCCGGACAGCAATCGAGAAGCAATGTGACCTGATCTTGCTTGCAGAGCAGTCTCCAAGCATCGTGCGATTCATTCCATCTGAGTTCGGAACCGACATCGCTTTCAATGCCTCGTCGGCAAACGAGAAGCCTCACCAAGCAAAGCTGAAAGTTCGCGCCTTCTTGGAGTCGGAAGCTGTTCGCCGCCTGACCTACACCTATGTCGTTACTGGTCCATTCGCAGATCTCTACGTAGGGTCGATGCCTCGTGAGCCACAACTCGGTACCTTTGACGTCCATAGCAGGCATGCCGTATTGCTCGGAGACGGCGATGGGAATATTGCTTTAACAACAATGGCCGACTGCGGCAGAGCACTGCTTGCGGTGCTCCGGCATCCAGAAGCGTGCGATGGCAAGGCGATCATCGTTCATTCGTTCGTCACTACTCCGCAAGCCATCTTGCGTGAATTTGAAAGGCAGATGAATGCCAAATGGAGTGTTGACTGCACCACTCTTGCCGAGCTGAAGATGTTGGAAGATGACGCTTGGACGCAGTCAAACCCTTTGGCAGCTCTGTACACACTGCGAAGAATCTGGACCGAAGGCGCTACTCTGTATCCCAAGATCGATAACGAGACCATTGGCCTTGCGAAGACGGACACACTCGAGATGGTCGTCCAAGCAGCGATCGCCAAGCCGACATTGGGCTTTCAGAGCGGTGTCCTCTAGCGGCCATGCAGTGCAACAGGATTCTATGGCTACCTTTGAAAGAAGAATCGAGGCCGTCTTGGCGCGCAAGTTTGCGGCCTCCTTCGACGCAACGCGGAGATGATTTAGTATCTCAGCGATGCTGCATAAGTCCACAGTAGATACATCTTGTAGCATCTCGTCTTCTAATCCGAGCGAAGCGAAGTGAACAGGCATAGGCCGGAGCTTGCGACGAGGATGCGAAGGTGTTGTCTGATTATCCAGGGTTCCGTCAGACACTCCTCCCCGCTGTTCGCGGGGTTTCCAGCTATACGTAAAATCGCATTTTCTCAGTAGGCCACACGCAAAACTCGTTAAATGGTATATTCTAGTCCCACACAGATATCCAGGCAGGTGCAGTACTAAACCACGAGTCCAAATACTACACTAGCTAGTTTATCCGAGTATATAGTAGCTATAGGACCTTACTATCGCTACTTCTTATATAATCCCTAGTAGGCGCGTCTACCTTATTCTAAAGCGTATATTCCTCGTATTCCTTATATTCTACTATACGGATCGTATATAAAACTTAGTATAGGGCGTAAAAAGGGTAAAAAGGGTAAAAAGGGTAAAAAGGGTAAAAAGGGTAAAAAGGGTAAAAAGGTAAAAAGAGTATAGGCTAAGCGGTTAACCGAAATAGAGAGAATATAGAGAGTAGTAGAACGCGTTATTTCGAAGTATTATAAGCTAGAGGCTAAATTAGATAAGAAGGTTAGTATTTAAGCGCTCTATAAGAGTAAGAAGGCAACTAGCCTATATTCTCGTATCTACTAGCAGTTAAGAGGCCGTAGATCGCTATTTAATCGTCTATTAACTAATACTAAACTAGGCGAGTCTTAGGAGATAGCGCTAGCGGATTCTTATCGAAAGAGAGACGTAATAGATATATTCTTACTAGTAGCGCTAATCGTTATTATAGCGATAGAGATACTAGTAAGCCTATTACTAGAGGGGACGTTAAAGGATATAATACCGCTATTTAGTATAGACTAGGCTAACCGCTTTCTTAAGCGCTATAGACTTAGTAAAGTTAAGTCTAAGCCGATTAAGGTATAGCGGAAGGAGGCCTATAATCCTTCTACGATAAGGAGCTAGTTTAGCCGCTTTAAGGCGATAATCTCGCGACTAGGTATAAGGCCGCGGAATATATAGAATTTCTATAAGACTAGTTTCCGAGCTAGAATAGATAGTAACGAGTATATCGTTATAATAGGTACGAAGCGGCGCGCCTAGACCGACTATAATAGCAACCGTACGTATATAACTATCGTAGATACCGTTAATGCCTTCGGTAAGATAGTAGATTATTAGTTAATTATTAAAGGTATAATAGTATAAGAACGATAGGTACTAAAGAAAGGTAAGTCTATTACTACTACTATAGCCCTACTATTACTACTTCCGAGTCCGAGTCTACTACCTAAGGCAAGAATAACGTTACCTACTAACTAAGATACCTTCGTTCTTAGGTAAAGACAACTTCTTAATTACTATTAATAAGTCTAGATATATAACCGACGATACTATAATATACTATATCTACTAGTTCGAGGGGAAGATAAGACCTAAGGATCTAGAAAAATAGAGGGTGCTTCTATACGACAATTACGGCTCCTACTACTTTAAGGAGTTTATAGCCTTTATAAAGCGGTATAAGATTTAATTATAGGGCATATAACTATATACTTTATACTTTATATAGCCTTTAGATATTGCCCTATTCTAGGTATATAAGCTAAGATATAGGCAAGCGGTATTAGAGGCTATATACCGTAGTATTAGTAAACTCGGAATATCTAAGTTTATTAAGGCACTCTTAGCTATTCGGGCTAGGACATTTACTTAATATAATATAAAGTCGGTATTCCGGAGGATAGGTATATTCCTAATTAATAGGGAGGTCCCTTATAAGTATATTCGAGATTAGTATAGGGCTACTAACTAATACTATAATTATAACTAGTAAGTAGTTAAGGACGAATTAGTATACAAAGAAGCCCGGTATAATAAATCGCTAGTAATAGCAGAGGTAGCTTACTAGGAGTATATCGTATCGGTTAAGAAATAACGTTCTATAGAGCCTACTATTATCGATCTAGAAGGCTAGCCTTACGCTAATAGTCGCTACTACCTTAGGGATCTCGAAAACTTAATCGCTTAGGGTATGCTATCGTTACTATCTCTACTGCCTTAGCGAACGCCGACCTCCGAATTACCGTAATAGCTCCTTAATACTACGACTAGCCCTCGTACGATTAAGGTATCTTATAGTACTATATAAGCTTATAAGGACTTCCGACGGTCTTATCTAAAACTAGCCCTATAGGGTATCAATCCTATATTACTATTGTTTGATCTATTTTGCTCGTTATCTAAAAAGCAAGTACGTTACGAAAACATTTTTCCCGATTATAATAATCCTATCGATCCTATTAATCGCGAGTAATCCTAAATAGCGATCCTAAGCGATCCTAGCGATAGGATCAATCGACCTAATAATAAAATTAGTATGTTATACTATACTAAAAATAGAATATTTTTGTCTTATATTACTAAGCCGTAAACCTTCTAGATAAAAAGATATAAAGAGAAGAAAATCGCTTTTCTAGAAATTCTACTTCTAGTATGTTTTTTTTGAAGTAGGTTTACGGCTTAGTAATATAGTAGAAAAGCACTCTATTTTTAGTATATTATTGTAAAAAAATAAAAAATTTCTAGATTTCCTAAGAAACTAAAGCTAGGAAAAAGAAATAAGTAATATAGTATTTTAGCTTTTTCTAAGTTACAATTTACTATTTTAAGAAATATAAAGTATAGAACTTAAAGCTCGTCTTACTAATAAGACTATTATATACTTTTAAGTCTTAATACCTAGCAGTTATCTTAGAATCTAGAAAGGAATCTCGAGTATACTTTTTTATGAAGTTCTGCTTATTAAGCGTCGGCTTTTGAAAAAAGCCTTGTCGTAATCTCGGCTACATTTAGCGAAACCCTAACGAAAAAATTTATTTATAAAAATAACCTATAAAACCGCTATATATTATATATACTAGCACATAATGCCCCAAAATACCTCGTAGTAGTAGTATAGTAATAGTAGTTAGGCTCTAATAGTCGGGCTCTAGATCCCGTATCCTTTGCGTTCCTAGGAATTTTAGGTATTCCTAGGCCCTACACTTCCTCGAATTTTAGGACGGCCCGTTCTAGGGATCGCTCGCGATTACTTAGAATCGATAGGATCTTTAACCTATAATCCTAAGGATCCTAAGAATCCTAAGAATCCTAAGCAATCCTAAGCGATCTGTTAGGCTATTAACAAGATTGTCGCGATTAGGAAAAATGTTTTTATAACGTAGAAAAGGCCTATAATATACTAGTTAATATAGCTATTGTAATATAGGTTATATTAGTAGGTAGATAGGGTAGTAGTAGGTATAAGTAGTATTCGATAAGGATCTAAGAGGAGAGGGAGGAAGGTAGGAGAGTTAGCCTAATGCTAAGCGCTAAGCCCTGCCTAAGGCATCGAGACCCTAGCTTTACTCGGCCTAGTTATATACTAATCACGTATAGCCCCTTTAGCCCTAATATACGCTTCCCTTCTAAAGGCCGCGCCCCCGTAGCCTTTCTATATTCTAATCCTAACCTCTATTACTACTAACTTAGTAAATCTAATAAGCTACTTAGCCGCGCTAAATTAAACACTTAACTACCTAATTATATAACTATATTAAACCTTACCTTCTAAGCGTAATATACTGCTTAACTCTACCTACGCTATCCTTATATACAATAAAGTAATATATATCTATAAGAATTAAGGACTATCGACTAATTATAATACGAGCGCGTCTTCCCTACTATAATAGGTAGGCGTACGAGGTATTGTAGTACTGCCTCCGTTCTAAGTAATATTATCCGAGTTCTTTGCGTCTACTCTAAAAGACCTAGAAATGTCCGCTTCCGAGGGATTGTTCTTATTATTACGAGGGCTATTATTGTTCGTAGTTTCGCTAGCCCTAATTAGTTAGGTTTAGTAGCCTTTAATTATTAATTAATCTTATCTTTTTAAAAACACAGTTCGTCTAGTTTCTATAGGTAAAGGCTATTATAAGTATAATAGTTAAGGTTCGCCTCGCTTAAAGGATCGGAAAGATCGAGAAGTAACCTATTATCCGCAAGATCGACCCTAGCTAGCTTAGCTCTATATTTTTGCCCTTAGTTAGTCTACTTAATCTTTTAAGCCTTAATCTTTTAACTTAGTTAAAGTTTTAATTAAACCCTTAACAGGTTTAATCTTTTAACTTAGTTAGTATAGTACTTTAGGCTCGTAGTATAGGTAAGGTTGTGTCTATAAGCGTAGTAATAATAGCAGGTAATGTTAGTAATAGCGGCGCTAGCCGTCTTAGCGCTAACCTTACCTTGCTCCTAATTTCCTTCTTTAACTAGTAATACACTCTGTAATACTATTACTAATATAGCCGTACGCCGCCTTCTAACTATCGCTAGCTCGTAGCGCGACGCTATTATTATTACTATTATTACTATCCGCGCGCGTACGCCATCCTCGCCAATCGCCTAGGCCTCGAGGCTTCGATAGAATAAAGGAATAAAAGGGGACCTAAATATTAAAAGGAGGGCCCTATAGGGTACGCCGGTAAAGAGGTAGATTTCTTAAAAGAGTAGGCGATTAGTCGACGCTTGTTAATAACCGGTGCGCGTTTACTATTATAGTATAGTCTTATTGTCTTTTATTAACAATTGCTAGCTTCTAATTAGTTAGCTAATAGCGCCCCGGTAGTAGCATTAATCCTAGTTCTCTTCTAGCGACATTATAGGCCCTTAGCCTTCTTCTTGTTCTTTATACTAGTCTAATACTTATCTAGCAACTTAGCTATATCCTTAAAAGCGGCTTTAGCTTCCTACGAGTCTTACTCGGGTAAATAGCCTTACTATCTTAATAAGTACTCCTTCTTACCTTA